TGCTTTCGAAAGCATATCCCATTGCTCGAGAAACATTGTTTCTATAAGAACGGAAGCTTGAACGAGTTGGTATGCGTTTTTCTTGGTTGATACAACGCACACGAGAGGAGGACGAATAAAAAATATACTGGCCTCGAAGCCTGCCTACCGTCCAAGGTAGTCTGTAATTTTTCCCATATATAACATCTGTTATTCTAAAACTGCACACTATTCTATAAAACCACTCAATTCTTGGCCAATTTCCCGCAGTGGATATGCGCCACGGGCAATAGGTGAACGAGAACACGAACAAGCACTCTAGCGCACCTGTGAGCGCTTTTCCTGTGTATCTTCATCGTCGTTTCGTGTGCGCTGTACGTATCACCCAAGAGTAACGCCAAAATCTTTCTATCAGACGCGCTAGAGATCGCATGTGCACATTTGACCCTTCGTGAAAACTCGTACTTTTGCCCAGTACGATACGGTGAACCATCATCTGTGGGTGATGTCACAGAATAAAAGATCTGTGGCCATCATTATATATGGACAATTTGGCAGCGATTCGTATTTACTCGAAACCTGCGTCCTCAAGCGCATTGATATCTGAGGCGGTTTCAGTGACCACACTGATTGAATTATTATTATTATTATTATTATTATTATTATTATTATTATTATTATTATTATTATTATTATTATTATTATTATTATTATTATTATTATTATTATTATTATTATTATTATTATTATTATTATTATTCGATGTTGTAGTTGTGTATCTGTGTTGTTCCTTACACAAATACACAACAGAGAGAAAGGAGGGAGTGATTATACCTATATAGAAACATGCAGCTGGCGGACGGTTAGGGAATCCCCCTAAAGGCAGAGCAGAGATGAGGAGGAAGAGGAAGTAAATAAGACGCTCGCACGGGATGTATGTTCGGCCAGTGCTTGCATTCGGGTGCATCTTGTATACGCTTGAGCTCCCGCTAATAAGCATCATCCTCCTGTAGTCCTCAAGAGACAAGCTTTGATATTATGCTAAGGTCTTCCGCACTTTCTGGCAACCAATCTCTTGTATACAGAAGCTAGGCTCCATCAATTCAGTTGATATCCTGTTTAAATTGTTAGCAGTATACAGTCATTTCTAAGAATGTATGAATCCCCCGTTAAGCTTTCAGCAACAGTTTTTATGTCCCATTTCACTTGCTTTTTGAATCATTTCATACGCCTCAAATTTTAGTTATACAAAGCCTTCTTGACAAATTAAACGTTCAAATTGACCTGTGTACAATCAGTAATAGTGACAACTCTATTAAAAGAAGATTTGATGATATTTTTTTATACAATGCAAAACTGATATCGCTCCGCCTATTAAAATTTATATCAACGTTTACACACGACAGTAAGGACGGTCATAGCGATTGATGCTTCACAAAATCAAGAAAAATGCGAAATTGCTATTTTCTTTTCTACTCCAGATTGGTCGTTTTCTCTTCACCTTCGTGAGCAGTATTTACAGTGTGGTGTCACGAGGTGTGGGTATACCTTGCTATGAAGGCAGGGGTTGGGAAAGACACCTGTCTGAAGCTTGCGCCACAGGACGGCATCAAGGTCTCAATTGGCCACCCTCATACACATGGCATGAACGTGCCCACAGTACGCTGACGCTTCTCACGCAGAAGATACATGGGAGTCCCTTCTGCATATCACAGACTCGGCACAGCAACGCCGGGTAATCTCACGCGCATTTGGAGGCCCCGGTGTTCCAAGGGATCATCGCTGACCTCCTCTAAGCAGCGTGACTGACCTCTCGGCCGGTCCCCTCTTTTGGGAGTTATTAAGTTTTGATCATCTTCTTCACCTTCCATATTTTATTGACTGATATGTGGGGTTTAACGTCCCAAAACCACCATATGAATATGAGGGACACCGTAGTGGAGGGCTCCGGAAATTTCGACCGCCTGGGGTTCTTTGACGTGCACCAATGTGGGAGCACACGGGCCTACAGCATTTTCGTCTTCATCGAAAATGCAGCCGTCACAGCCGGAATTCGATCCCGCGACCTGCTGTTCAGCAGCCGAGTACCTTAGCCACTAGACCACCATGGCGGGGCTCGCCCCCAAATTCCGTGGCCATACTTATACGAGAATATCTAGCAATCATTCTAGCTCTGCCTAAACTACAGCAGCATCAATAAGTTCAGCAATAATTTTGACGGATTTTCTATTGGTATGCTCATCCATCATTCTGGCATGTTGAGTGCTTTCAAATCATTGGTTCCACTGCAAATAAATTTAACAAAGTTAGTTTGGGTTCCAGGACACAAGGGCCACAAACGCACGCACGACCATACATTATACGTAAGGTGAAGCGCCCCCCCCCCCCCCCCCCCGATCTTAGCGCACGTCAGCAGCAGAGTGCTGTAACCACTGATCTGCCATGACCGGACTTGGAGTTATATAAAGTACTTAAAAAGATGTCATAGACACGCCAGGCGAAGAAGCTCGCTTGTTGTGGACGGTGCACGCCATATGACAGTGCACGCCATAATCTTCACCATTCCATCACCTTTAAAGATTGGACGTAAATAGACGGACGCATCTTATCAGGTTTGTAATCAGTTCTTTCGTCAAGCAATGCAGAATGTGCTTTTGTCAGATGCTATTGTCTAGAAATGTGATTGATCGATTTGATATTGATATGTGGGGTTTAACGTCTCAAAACCACTATATGATTATGAGAGAACCCGTAGTGGAGAGCTCCAGAAATTTCGACCACCTGGGGTTCTTTAATGTGCACCCGAATCTGAACACACATCCAGAAATGTCATCTGTCATAATTTAGCTGGCGGAGAAATTTTTTTATTTCCCGCACAAAAACATTAGAACTGACCTTTCTCCTGATCGGTAACAACGGGGGAAGAAAGGCGGTAAGCATGGTCTTGTAATATTTATTTTGCAAACAGCACGTGGAAGCAGATATATAGCTTGTGAATTTCTGACGAAGAGCATTGCAAGCATTGACTGTTGGTACAACTGCATGCGTTAGTACCAGCTTAGGAAAGTGAGTCGGCTGCATAAAGATGGATTGTTCCTCCGTACAATAGTGTTCCAACTGCGGTACTGCAGAGTGTCAATCATAGGCGTGCGTGTAGGTAGAGCACGTAGCTGGCCGCCTCCTTCAGACCATTTTGGGTTCAAAGTCGCCTCCATACCTTCACCCAGTTGGACCTGTCGCGTTGTTCTTTAATTAAAGTGCGGGGAACTCATCCAAGCGCCCTGCTGCAGGGTTATGGTAACGCAGGTTCTTTACTATAGTGGCGGCCGAGCACATATGGTGTTACAATTCGAGAACTCTTCAGGTACTTCGCACCTTTAGACCCGAAAAGCTGGGGTCAAGCATGCAGGCCGTTGTGGGAAGCACTCCATGAGCGTAGCCGGGGGGAGGGAAGGGGAGATGAAGCTCCTGAAAATTTTCAATTCTACTTGCCCTCATAGAAACGCACGGACGAACATTCATAAGCATGGTAGAACCCCCTCCCCTTGCCCTGAAAAAAATTTCTGGCTACGCCCCTCACGTCACCGATTGCTTCACTTTCATTTTTGCACCCGAAGCTAGTTTTTTTTTTTTTTTTCGCACTGGGTCGAAAGAGGAAAAGGGGGTGGGGAGGCTCTGGTTCCCCTAATATGGCTCGTTTAATATTAAGAACCCTGCGCACGCCTATATGGTCGCAACATTATGGGACAATGCATATGTAGTCTATGTTTGGCTGAAAATGAATCATGCAGTTGGTGATGGAGCTTCTCGTTTAATTGCTTTATTTATTTTGTGACGGGCGCCGAGGCAGGGGCGCCGTCGCTATGGTGCCCCCCCCCCCCTTCCTCCCACTCCTCTTTTCTTTCTATTTTATGCGAGACCCTGCACGCGCCCATGTTCGTGTATATTTTCTCCCAGATTCATGTTCATCTTCTCGTTTCCACCAGCCGGTCTGCCTACCGCACTTTTAAATGCGAAACATTTCTTAGCGAACTTCGGCAAAATTGAGCGTATCTATCTATCTATCTATCTATCTATCTATCTATCTATCTATCTATCTATCTATCTATCTATCTATCTATCTATCTATCTATCTATCTATCCGCCTACGACTTTTAGCTCTCCTGGCCGTTTCGATGATGGTATCGATACCAAATTTGGTATGGCATAACATGACTGTATGACGAACATAAGTGACTAGTCATAACAAAAATCATGACATGTATGTCATGATTTACATTTCATGATCTTGCTGCGCTTGCGGTGGTTTAGTTTACATGACATATTGCAAAACTGGCATGGTATGGCATGACTGCATGGCAAAGATAAGTGACACGCCCTAACGTGGAAATCATGACATGCATGTCATGTAAGTCATGGTCCTGTAAGTCATGACTACACGCCACGCTCATGGTGTGGTCGTGGTCGTTTTTTAAGTTCTGATCCATGGTCGCGTGCAATATGTCCATTAGCTTTCACGTTGACGCAATCGCCGGGGGCGAACGCTGCTGTTTGTTCACTCAGCTGCTTGCGTGTGCACCTTTTCGGGTGAACTAAGTTTCCACACCAGCTGCTATTGCACGAGCGCTGTTTTATTGCAACGCACTTCCTGGGAAGCAAAATCATGGCAGGTGGGGCAAACTTGTCCGGATTTTCGTGCAGCTGTGCGCAGCGTTATCTGATTATGACCCGAACAACACCGGCGGGGCCCGAGGGTGCGCCCGTCCGAATTTGTTCGTAGTTGATTCTGCTTCCCAGTGTAAAAATATTGACCAAAAGCTCGTTATCGTACAAATCTTGTCATTTGATTCAGCAAGTTGTTCCAGGCTTCATACGCTTGGTGTTGTTATTATAACAATGCACGCACCCATTTGCTTGTCTGTTCTAGTGCTCAACTAGAACAACTGGTGAAACGACGCTTGATGTTTGATGTGCGCTCATTTGATTTTTCCCGCCACTTCCCGTCGGCTCCAAGCCACCTGCTCAACTCTGGGCTTAGTACTGTACGGGTTCGATGTTCGGTGCAAGGAGGATAAGTAGTACTGTAACGGCACATGGATCGGGGTGATTGCTTTCAGATTGTTTTGAGTCACATGATTGCCATATCGATGCGCTCGTACGCGGCTGGCACACCGCCGTGTGTTGTTGCGGAGCGTGTGCGCCCAGCCGCTCGTTACCTCCGCCACTCTCGCGAAGCGTGCACAAGTCGTTTTCGCGCTGGTGCAGCTGTTGCAGGCGCTTCTGCATACCATACACTAGGCAACGTAAGTTGTTTGAGACTGTTTTTCTAGCGTCTACTTACAGAGGATTCATGCGTGTCGCACTGGTAAACTTTTACGCAAGACGATCATTCGTCTGTAGTTTACTTGTTGTTTGAAGGCCGCATCGCATCTTCGGACGGCTGTAGGTGGGCGCGCGTTGCAACGTGCTTTGTCGGGGAATGTTTTCGCTCGCGTTCTGCGTGCTTGTCACTGACCTCGTTCGAGCTTAGCTCTGACGGTATGGTGTGTCATTTTTGAGCCTTCCGTGGCCTGTCTCACCGGGACTTTTGAACGTTGCAGGCAGTGGCGCGGATCCCGGGGACTTCATGTGTTGGTGTAGGTGCAGCACTTGCTGTCGGTGCCCGGAGGTGAGTTTAAACGTAGTTGAAAAGGGGGCGTGCCAGCTTGTTGTGCCCCAGGCAGGGAATTATGTTCTCGTGTGTCATCCCTTTTAATCTGTCGTCTTTCAGGGCCTGACATGTATGCTGGTCCTTGCCATATTCGCTTCCGTCCTAGGGATGTTTCAGTTCGGCTATAATCTAGGTGTAATCAATGCTCCACAAAAGGTAAGTAAAAACGTACACTGTTGTCTGTTATTGCTTATCAAGAGATTTAAGCACGTCTTAACGCATCGTAAACAAGCCTGTTGTACAAATAATACATGAGAGCAGTCACTGACTCTTTTATGCCAGCTGGACATTTCTACAACTCCATAATCTGTATATCATCAGCAACATGTGTCAGCTCGACTGGAATAAAGTGAATGCTCATAAATGGTAAAGGTGCAATCATAATTATTAGTACCAGGACAAGTCGCTTGTTTTCAGGTGGCATTCTGTAAACATTGCTGTCATGCCATTATATATTAGCTAGTTGGAAACGTGTACGATGGATGATTTGATTGATTGATATGTGGGGTTTAACGTCCCAAAACAGGAAAGCATAGGAAGGCACGCTCACTTACAGTACTAGTATAAATAATTATTGTAATCTAAAAGCACAAGTTGGCAGAAACGACATGAGAAAAAAGATTACACAAAATGACCATTCTTGTCTACCTTGTGTTGTATTTTCTTTCTATTGAACTCTGATAGAATGTGAATGCTAAATCTTACAAGATTTTCATTTTCAAGGTCTGGGTTGGCAATGCGCTTATGCTATGTTGCTTTTTTTGGGGCAGCTGGCATTTTGATTAATTAAAAAAATATGAAGCTTCTATCGTCATTGCTGTGACATGTTTGTTAATACCGATTTCTGCACTAAGGATACAGTATTGCTGTGAGAGGGATATTTCTGTTTTTGTACTAGTGAGCAGTTTTTTGTTTTTGTTTGCTTGTTTCTGGTCCTAATTCATGAGCTGATAATTGGTGCTGCTGTTAAGGATATGCTTATAATTACTGGCCTGCTCCACAATCGTAGTGTGTATGAGAGGTGCACCCAGGAGACCCTTCTAATAAAGTGGGTGCATTCACTTAGTATATGTATGCAGACCAAATTCTTTTCTTTGTTTGTGCACCTGCTGCTGTCGCCTCGTGGCTAAGGCATTTGGCTGATAAGCAGAATTTCTTCATATAAAAAAAAATTCTAGGGACCTTGAAACTTCTCAAATACGGATACATTCTGAACTTCCTGTAATATTATGTGGTGGCACTTTTGATACTGAAAGCAATTGAACTTAAGGAGCTCCTCTTTGTGTAGCTCATACGCTGTGTCTGATCATTCAAATAGTGATGCAGTATGTTTGACTTAAGTCGACACTGGTAACATAAAGTTGAATGTTGGTAATTTGATATCAATAGTCTTTCAGTAACAGAATAGAGTATCAACAGTGTAGTTAAAAAGCTTATTTTCACCAGTGTGACTTCAGTAAAGGGCCATAGCCTGCTCTATCAGCCTGGTATTTGCGCATTACCATGCTAATGTTAGTATCCTATATTACTAATTCATTGCCTTATACATAGTCATTATAATGGCTATATATTAAAGGAATTAGGCTTCTCTTGGTACCAAAATGGGCATTTTTATGATTTTCGATTAAGACAAGCAATTCTACCATTTGAATTAAATTCGTAGCATTGGAAAGTGTTTTACTATAACATATTATTGGCCTAGTTGGTTCATTCTAAAGAAAGGTGAAGAACGGAACCCACATAGATAAAAAAAAAATGTCCCCTTGTTTTTTGTCTACGGGGGTTGTGTCCTTCACCTTTCGTCAGAAGGCATTTTATTTGCATTTATCAGTTATGATTTTAAAGCATTTTTAACATAATCTACATGTACTCTGTAGGCATACTTTGCTTCTTAAAGTGTGGTGCACCATAAGAAGTTCGATTCATTATCTATTATGTGCCTTTAACTGATAAGTTTTTTTCGTGCTGTTTCGATAATGGATCAACGCACACACAGGTTGTACAATTGTATTTGAGATATTTTTCGGCCTCTATGCTCATCTTATGTTCTATTGCCTCCTTTTTTTCTGTCCTCAGGTTCTAGAAGACTTTATTTCAACTGTGTATAATGAGCGGACAGGAATGCCAATACCCAAGAATTTTAAAGACTGGTTGTGGGCAATCACTGTTGCTGTATTTGCCATTGGAGGCATGGTTGGAGGCATTTCTGGAGGCATGATGGCAAATCGTTTTGGGAGGTAAGTTGCACAGAAGGTTTTTTTATTTGTTTGTTTATTTATTTATTTTCAGTTTGGTTCTCTTACACAGGGAAAAGTCTCTTTCATCATGCATCTTAAAAGAATTTTAAGGGCCCATTTTCATTGGTTAGATGCAAACTTAATGAGAACCAGCAGAATCACGTGTTCTTGAAATTTAGGAAAGATATATAGTGCTCATAAATTTAATACTGCTGCCTTAAAGAAACCAATATTAAGCTGAAAGGTTAAAAACTTGCCTTGTTGGTACATTGTAGCTTTTGAGGGAAAGCTAAAACTTTGGAGAAGCGCTGAAGGAGTGGCGTTAATGTGTTGTTGTTGTTCTATTCTTTGGTGCTTCTCCATAGAAGTACACGGTAACAATTTGAGGAGTTTATTCCTGCATTGTATATTCTCCTGTTAAACTTGAACACTTTTGCCACTGATGCATAACCTACAACAGACAATTGCTTAGAACTCCTCCTTTTGAGAGCTCAGCGTGAGCTCCACGTGATTCATCTGTTCTCGTCATCTTGGACAACCATTTTGTAGTGATGTTGCCATGTGAGGGGGAAAGTCGCTATGTGCTAGGTGAAGTGTATTTATGGTATGGGGCTAAATTTCACAATTGGAGCAGGCTGCACGTGTCACTGTCACCGGCGCTGAGCGAGCTAATTCACTGTTGTGTAGCTGATGGATGCTTATTTTGAGCTTTGCTTTGTGCTTTTTGCCTGGGTAATGTCTCGGAACTTGATGAAAAGTTCACGACAGTGCCTTCCAGTGGTGGTTCAGCATTTTCGGGCGTACTATTTTCTCAGAATTGCACCACAGAAATTTCGGAACGTGCTAAGCACAACCCCTTCCGACAAAAGAACAGCCTTGGCCTTTTCCTTTACCCTCTGTTTCTGCCTATGAACATTTCTTGTGCCAATCTTCCAATTCAGGCCAGGTATAGAGTAACTAGTTATGACAATTTAATGCTCTGGGGCAATTTTCTGAGTGCACCAAGCTTTGTGTGTTCACGTGCCCCCCTCCCCCCCCCCCCCACCTTTTTTTTGGAAGCTTGCCTTTAGGCATAGTAGAATAGCATGTCAGAGATACACAAAAAATTTTGCTTCGTAAAGAAAATTTGTTAGTGGTGAAATGTTCCATGGATCCAAAAGTCAATGTCAATTGGCAGTTGAAATTTACCAAGATGCAGACATTAGGGTGATGTAATTATATATATATATATATATATATATATATATATATATATAAAACTAAACATGCTTGGTTTTCTTCGAAGTGATTGATTCAAATGTTTGAAGCTTTGTTATGATGGAAAAAAAACAATATAAAAGCAGCCGAAGCGTTTGTACAGTCTAGCCAGGCCACTATTATATCTACTTATACCATTTCTACATCAAGAATATTTACATTGACATTTTTATCACAATATTTACAGCCCTAAAAAACTATTTTCATTGTCTAAATAGAAGTTCCATTGGTAAAATAACTTCTATTTTTGGGCCTTAACAGCCTGGTGAATGCTAAGTGAATACTGTGGTAAACTGAGTTTCACTGGAGGATTTGCTTGACATTGGTGAGAGGCATGCTCATTAATTGACCTGTTTCCTTGTTAGCTCATGGATATTTGATAGGGAGAGTGTAATATCTTCTTCTCATATTTTAGCACACAAAGTGATTGGATTTAGCAGATTTGTGCATGACTCGGAAGGGCACTTGCGAAACCGGGAAATGCATTTAAGATTTAAAATGAATATGTAATAGTAAGCATGCATTGCACCACACAAAGCAGATAAATTGAGATTTACTGAGAGGCAGTGATTCAAAATAAGGTCACTGCAATAGCAGCAGCACTGAATGGAGACTTATTAGAAAGGTAAGGCCGCCCATGTATGAGTAGCTTTATTACAACTGCATAGGGTCCGTGTCCTGTAATTGTGCAAACCGCTGAGCTGTGGCATGTAGGATGCATGAGACTACAGCCTCAACTTTCTCGCATGTAACTGCAATGCATAGGACAGGTGATGTGCAAAGCTGTGGACACTATGAAACAGATATAAAGCAAAACATTTGTTTATGCTGATGGCAGTTTGAAAAAAAATAGGATTTTATTCTTATACATGCTTCCATGCTTGAGATAGACTGGCAGTGTAATATTTCTAATGTTTTCTTCATTTCTTGAATACCTATCTTCCACCTGTGTGGCACTGCAGCATGTACTGTTATTAAACACTACACTGATATCTTAATTTTTTTATCCTATTGCATCATTTATAATTTCTTATCTCATTTTTGTCTGTTTATGAAACCTGCAATAAATCTTGTAAATTAAGGTGTTATATGTGCCAAAACCACAACGATTATGAGACATGCCAAAATGGAGGACTATGAAATAATTTTTACCACATGGAGCTCTTTAAAGGCATCAGCATCAAAGTAATGGGGTTACTCTTTGTGTTTCACCGCCATCAAAATGTGGCTGCCATGGCTGGGAGTCCAACCCACATCCTTGAGCTTAGCTGCACAATACCCTACATGCTATACGAGCGTGTTGGGATGGTTCATGAAACCCGTGCATTCTCTGTCATTTTACTGCGAAAGCTGTTATGGGATAAAAACTCGGGTCACATGCTGTCGTAGTTGTCCGCCACCACTGGTGTTCGTAACCACAATGCACGAAATTAGAAAAAAAACTTGTACCAATGACACAGTGGGGCTCAAACCCGGGTCCGCTGGGGGCCAGGCCAGTATTCTACCACTGAGCCACGCCAGTGCTTGGGACTTCTTGGCAAACTTGCTTTAGGCAAGTTTGATGTTGGGAAAGCAATCGCGTTAATACGACTTATAAAGCGTTTTAAAACGGCGAAAGAACAACCAGTCGTTGCACAATGTTAATAGCGTAACATGTTGGTCATCCAAAGCTCCAGCCCATTACAAAAGCTTGTTCTTGTTAACCAATAACTGGGGCACATACTGACTTTAGGCACAATTCCTCATCGTCATCAGCAACTACATAATCAATTGGCACAAAATTTCTTGCAAGTGTTTAGCGGATACCACGCTTCTCAGAAGAATCACAAAAAATAGCATAGTGAATGCCAGCCTACTATACAAAAATTTTATTATTAATGCTGTAGTGGGTATCAAGCAAGTGGGATTGAAGCAGTTATTTAATGAGTGTTTACAAAAGGCTCTGAAGGGCTGCTGATGCAACTTTCGCTGTAACTGTGCTGCACCTTCTGCGCAGGCCTGGCGTTTTCAGCCTCTGAACAGCTATTCCTCTAGTTACTATTAGCAAGTAAACCAAGGTGAACTGTTAACAGCCGTGTAGTATTACAAATGTAACATATATAGTGGCAACAGCAGTAACTGTAGAAGTCGGTATTTTTTTAATGCCCAGCTGTGCACACCCGACTGTATGATAGCAAGAGACTGGTCAGTGAGCTGTCAGCTCATGGGTGCAGCTATCCTGGGACTGAACAGAACTGTGCTATTAGAGAATTCCTACAGGCATGATTTTTTTTAGTTATGCATTGCCATATGTTTCTTCGAAGAAACTTTGCAGGCTCATGTGGTCAGGATTTTCTAGTGAGGCAATTACAGTACACCCGCAATAATTCAAACACTAATAATATATACTTTTGGTTAATTCAAACAAAATTCAATTTTTTGGTTGGCCCTCTATCCTCTCAATGTATTTAAAAACCTCTTAATTCAAATGCCATCATTCGGTTAATGCATACTGTTTGCAATTTCATACCAAAAATTATCTGCTGTTTTTCCACTACTGCTTAAAAATTTGAGTGCTTATATAATCATAATAGTCTAAAAATGAAAAATATGCACACCAGGCCTTCAAGAAAAAAGGCTTTTCTAGTAAACAAATGTTTGAAACAAAGCACACACATGGTAAACAATGATGCTTCTCAACTGGTATAGAGAGCTTTGTGCTGAAGGCATATACCTATAGCAAAGAAGCAGTTGGCAATTCATGATTTCTTTAAGAGGTCTGATCAGCAGTAAATGGCCAATAAACTTCTGGAGCTCACACCTCTGCTTTCTCTTCATTGCATGCAGTTATGGTTTAAAAACACTTAAAAAAATTTTAAATGTGATAAAATCAATGTCCAATCATAATGTGTGGTGTCACCTCATGCAGTGTCATCTATCTTTTTATAATTCAAATTTCTTGGTATTTCAAAGAAAATTCAGAGGTCACTTCGAGTTTGAATTAACGAGAGTCGACTGTATTGCTTGGTGATTATCTGTCCTCTACATAGATTTCAAAGAAAATTCAGAGGTCACTTCGAGTTTGAATTAACGAGAGTCGACTGTATTGCTTGGTGATTATCTGTCCTCTACATAGTTAAACTTTTAGTTGGTGATCTGAAAGCTTTAAGTTGTATTGCAAGAATTCAACTTGAGAACAGTGACTAGAGCAAATGAGGCTGAAAGAGGAGATGATAGAGCAGGATCGCAAGAAGCCAAGTCTGAGTTAAAAGAATAATTTACAGAGTTGTTCATGGTGTGGTACAAGGCATCCAATAAAAAGGAGGAATTGACTCGAATTGTTTGCCTGGCAAGAGCTGTTACAGGGATAAAATGTTGCAATATGTAGTTGCTTACGCAAGCATTATGTTCTGGCAATTAATAATCATTATTTTTAACTTTATGAATATGTTGTGGTAATATTTGGCTCATGCCTTTTCCAGGAAAGGGGGTCTGCTCATCAACAATATTATGGGCATTCTTGGAGGCTCATTGATGGGTTTCAGCAATGCTTCTAGAAGCATCGAGTTGCTCATTTTTGGTCGCCTTATCATTGGAATCAATTGTGGCAAGTTACCTATGTTTCTTAATGTTTTTCCCACTGACTGATAGAACTTGTTCATGGCCTAACATGTCAGACATATAATTGAAACTGTAGGATGCATATGTGCAATTTAAGCAGACAGGACATCTAAGCAGTGCTATGAAGCATGCTTTCCTACTTGTCTAATAATGGCTATTAATGAATAAACATTGTGTGTTTGTTCTTGTCTTGTCTTGCATACACTCTGCTGTGAATGGTTGTACAGTCAAACCCAACTATACCGAACTCTGGTAAACTGAAATATTCTTTATACCGATTGTTTTTGAACAAAACATTGATTTAATGTGAATGGGCAGGAAAATCAACAGCTACATCGAACTAAAATAGCCGAAGTACTTGATGTATTGAACATTGGGTAGGTCAAAATGTCCTGAAAAGTTGGCTTTCTCTTGAAGGACAGTCACTTCTCACAGAAAGGTGCCAAAGAGCATTGTTAAAAATCTTGTTTGAAGGGGCTTACCTGAGTGCATTTGGGAGCATGAACTGTGAGATCGGGAGGGTGCCACACAGATTGAGTATAAACTGCAGCTTGTCATCATGTTCCTTCTCCCACAATTTTCTGTCATCATGTCCATCGAATGGTCCCACACAGTTACTGTTCGCTTCTATGCGGTTCTCTGCCCCCTTTGTTATCGGATAGCTGCCATGAGAACTGAAGAACCTGCTGTGCCCCGCACGGGTTATGATGTAAAATGTAGTTCAACTTGAAGAAATGAAATCTGACGTTGCTGCATCTTACAGCATCCTAAAAACACGCTAGTTGTAAAAACAAGGCTTACATTGGGCTAAGGCAAACGAGAGGTTTTGTGGTGCCTGCCAAGTACGCACGGCTGTGTATTAAGATATTGAGGCACTATTTACACCTAGACTGTATTTTTTTGGTTATAACCCTCTCCTGTATGCAACACGCGCCCCTGCCACAAACTGTTAAAAAAAATGGAAAAGAACCTCTCTTCGCCCTCGTATTGCTGTGAAATCTCACTTTTTGCATTTTCATGAAGTAGTGACTGCAACTCCCGCTTGTGCACTGAAATTCACTTAGAAAATATGGTGAATTTTTTAAAAGTTTTATCTTGAATGATTTGTTTTATGGAACTAATTCCTGACTTTTTTCTGAGTTTGATATTTTCGGGTACAGTCAAGCTTGCTTAAATCAAACATTTAACTCTGGTATATATCGAGTTTGATTATACTGAGTTGTGCTAATCTTCAGTTTCAACCATGTCCACTGACTACTCACCTCTGGTGTTTGCACATCTGTTGTGGCTATGGATTTTTATATCTGGGAGTTTAAATAACAATGTCTGTTTTTTCATTAGGTCTCAACACTGCACTAGTGCCAATGTACCTGCTAGAGATATCACCTGTGCCACTCAGGGGAGGCCTAGGTATGTTATCGACACTGTCGTACTGATTTCATTTAATTGAGCATATGCAGTAAGGTTTATGTGGCAGTTATGTGTAATCGTTTGCTAATTCAGTTTACACTCTTTGTTTTCTTATTGCCTTTGTGTGATCTTGCAACCTCTTGAACTGTAACTAACTTCTTAGGTTGGTGTAGTAGTAAATAATGTTGATTTGATAAGCAGTACAGCGAAGTGCAGTGGCCTTTTCATTGTAAAGATTTAACAGTTTCGTCAGTGTTATAAATGGTGGCATGCACCTATTAGGGGAATATAAGCCAACAGTGCTTGTATGAAAACTAGGTTTCCTATAGGCCTTTTGCTACCTTTATATGCTGCCTGTTGCGATTCTGTGTCATTACCTATTGTTCATGTTTTAACAGTTTACATTTTTTTTTCCTGCCTCAGTGAAATGAAATTAGACCTTGGTGCTTTAACTTTTGTAATTTAATATGCATGCACCCATCCCCATCTCTCCCCAAACGGAAACAAAAGTTAGTTTTAAACTTCAATGGGCCATTTGCTTGAACATGAACCTTATTTTCCAAACATTTACTAAATGGAGTAACTGCTTTGCATAGTGTATTCATCATGTTTTGATTAGAGAACAGCTTTTTACTTTATTTCATGCTTCATAATTTGGTACACTCAACAACAAGATGACTGAGTTTTCCATTAAGAGAAGTGGACATACAGTAGACTCTGATTAAACGGAACCTGAAGGAACTAGGAAAATATGTCCCGTTGAACAGGAGTTCCATTTACTGAGAGATGAACAGGGGTGCAGAATGAAATTTCCAAGCCAATCATATCAGAGGCAGTTATTTCATTTAAGCAGCAGCTCAGTTGTGCAGGTTTCCATTTACTGATATCCTAGTGTATTGGTATTCTAGTGATTGATTGATTGATATGTGGGGTTTAACGTCCCAAGACCATTATATGATTATGAGAAATGCTGTAGTGGAGGGCTCCGGAAATTTCGATCACCTGAGATTTTTTAAGGTGTGCCCAAATCTGAGCACATGGGCCTACAGCATTTCTGCCTCCATTGAAAATGCAGCTGCCGCAGCTGGGATTCGATCCCACGACCTGCGAGTCAGCAGCTGAGTACCTTAGCCACAAGACCACTGTGCGGGGCTGGTGTTCTAGTGAGAGCACAGATAAATATTAAGAGGTAGAGCGGTTGTGATGTTGGTTGCTTGTGCTACTTGATTGGGTTAAATAATCTTGCCCAGCAGAGATGAATAATTTTTTCTGATAAGTGTTGTGGCTGGCTGCTGGAGTCAAGAAGGCAGTTTGGGAGGCAACATGAAGACTTTTTTCTTTTTTTTTTTTTTTTTCCTGGGGAGGAAAGGAGGGCCACTTACAAGCAAGTTCCTTCAAGAATGCATAGAAGCTGGAAACTTAGGCACTGTGTTTTGAATATAGGTCCGTTCGATTCGCCTGCACCACATGAACTAGTTCACGAGGTGCTCCACCTGGTCATTCGTTTCAGTGGTGCAGCATTGACGACCTCTGAACCCTGCTATTTGTTTCTATATGTGCAGGAATGGTGTAGGGCTAGTTCGCGATTTTCGTGCACCCCCTACGCTGACAGTGCAGGCTTGGTGCAGCCACGCGTGCCGCTGAGCAGACGACTCAGTACTTTGGTGTAGGCGCCGTACCCGCCTCCGCCAATTATCAACTACTATGTTACTTTTTAAAGGCTCCCAATTTGTTAATAATAATATATTGAGCCTTCTGACTATGTTAAAAAAATAACTGTATTTTGGCAATTCATCAAGACCAAGGTTTTTGGGTGTTCATGGCCTAAAAACAATTTTTCTTTAAACAGGCATGTTGGAGTGTATTACTTCCATTTCTTTGGTTTGCTCATTCAATATAAGCAACTGGTTAATAGTTTTTTGCTTTGCATCATTCGTGTCATGATGAGGTATGTAGAAAAGGATTATAATATTAGTAGGTTTTAATTTCATTTCTTCATTTTGCTTTTTTTTCCAGTGGATGTACATTGCATATTTGATGTTGCTTTGTGTGCTTGCTTTGATTTCTCAGTGCTGGTTTTCTGACTGTTCACTTATTCTTTCAGCGTAATTTTTGATACAATTTTGTTCTGTTCCTTTTTTCCTTGGCTTGCAGGCACTGTCAGTCAAGTAGGAGTAACAGTGGGGATGCTGCTTTCTCAGATCTTAGGTATTGATGTCATCTTAGGCACAGAAGAAGGATGGCCATACCTGCTCGGTGAGAAGTTCTTCCTCTTTGTCTTTGAACATAGTAAGCGTAGCGGGATACAGCCTTGGTAATGTTTTGTGTTTTAAAAGATGTTCTTCAAATGACCTGCACTTGTCTGATGAGGGCCTCTTGTTGCCCTCCCTGCACAAACTACAATTGATCTGTCTGCCAGTGTGTGTGTGTGTGTGTGTGTGTGTGTGTGTGTGTGTGTGTGTGTGTGTGTGTGTGTGTGTGTGTGCATGCACGTGCTTGTGTGTGTAGTGTGTGATAGTTTACGCATTTTTGTGTGGCCTGCACACTTTGTGACCACTAGAACAGTTCAGATATTCTTTAAATTTACATATTGACACTCTGTCTGACTTGGAGTTCAATGATTTTATGGAGAACTTGTGCTGCAGAATCTCAAAAGGACTGGCTTTTGTCACTGTCCGAGTCTGGTGTAACTGCCAAAGGCTAGTCACTGTGAAATCAATGCATAAAAAAGGTGTAATAAAAGCTACTAGTCATGCATCATCTTTTACACACTTTTAAATGGTGAGCCATAAGCATTCTTCTAATCTTTCTTTATTTAGCTAATTTAAAAGCTCGGTAAGCGATAAGCAGTCATCTAAAGCTGTACAGGGTTGTACACTCTTAGAAAAAACATCGAAGCACACGACCACTAGAAGAACCTGCCCAGACCTGATGAGAGCCAAGTCAAGCGCTGTGTGTTTATTACTCTGCCAGAGCACTCTAGTTTGTCTGACGTTGGCACCATAAATTTGTTTGCAGATATACTGTGAGTGAATGTTAATCTTTCATATTGCTGTTTAGGCCACCTAAACAGTATGGCCTGACCTACAGTGAACTGCTTATAATGGTAAATAACTGCTTCTAGAAGTACCTCCTTTTTCTACATGCAGCAGCAGCTAAAGCTTTTGTGAGGTACCTCATGGCATTCTTCAGGAATGTTTTTATAATGCATTGCAAATCAAAGAAGCTGAAAAAAATTACACAGCTTGAACATCTTTAGATGATTTTTTGCGTCCCTTCATTTTATTTTACGTCTAGCCTCTCTGTGTCTTGCGTGACTTACTGTGTGTTCTACTCCTCAGAAAATCGGTTCATTTACCATCATAAACGCTTATTGCACTGCTATATTAATTCAAATGCCCCTTTACGTCTCACTGGTGAAATAGTTCTGAGGGGGAAAATGTCCCGTTCAGTCATATATAAATGTTAACACGAACTACGTATGCTGCCAACTAGAAGAAGAAAAGTGAGTCATTTGTGTTGCTTCTTCCTCTCTACTGATAGAAAAGTGGGGACTTAGCAGGGTTGATATCTCTTGTAAGTTTAGTAAACAAATTGAAAGTGTAGAGCATGAAGACCCCTGTCATACATACAACTTGATGTGAAGTGATGAAGAAAGAGTGACAAATTAAATGCAGTTGAATTTCGACTTCACAAAGTTATGACAACTCTCAAAATGTATGTAGTTAAATCTGGAAGTTCATTAAATCGAGAACAGGATTTTTCAATCCTTCAATTGTAAAAAAAAATGTAATGTTATCTAAAATTGTAATGTTATGACTCCCAGAAGCTATCCCAGCATTGTTTTTACCTATAACTGACACCTGCACATGTGAAAAACCTGCAAGGGCAGCCTACTGGCTTTCTGGACATGGAACCTTCCATGTTGTCTGGACATTGGGTGCTTCATGTCCTGGCAAAGCAGGTCAAGCAATCAGTCATAGGAAGCTATGACAGGTTGCCAATATAGTACTACAAGGACGTGGTGAATGAGTGTAGCGATTTAATGAGAAAGTATTGAGGAGATAATCGGTACTACTAGTATTTGTAGCCTAAACCACAAAATAATGAAGCAACCACTGGCACCCCTAGTGCCACTAGATACATAAGAGCATCACCAATCTGTTCCGTGAATGGGTGCAGCGTGCTGCTTCGTCAAAATGCGACTGAAGTGCCTAGATGTTCTGTAGTAGTGTTAAAGTGGACGCTCGAAGAGGAACCCACTTAAGCCAAACCTGGAAGGAAATCGCTGCTTTTCACTCACTTATTTGAGAAAAAACTGGGTTAGATTCAGTTTAGTGGCCAAGTTCCTTAATTTGTTTTGATAACAACACTTCACCCTATGGCTGCGTGCCGGGGAATGAAAACTTTTTTGTGGATCAGGAATTCATAAAATTGAGTTTCATTAGATTGATATTTCACTACAGTTTCTTCTACTAGGTGTCAACGTACAGTCGTGTTCAGTAAGAGTTGCAACATGCTGTCACTGCTCAAAATGGCGCCAACACTGCGTAGTGGCATCTACATAGAAAAACAAATTGGTGAATTAAACTCTCTCAATTTGGAGTTTTCTGAACTAATTTAATGTTTGTCGGTGTCATTGTTCAGACTTGGGGTCACTTTGACTGCAGCCAGTGCGTTGCAACTCTTATTGAGCGCTACTGTACATTCGGCACTCTATATATATATGGTAGTACATTATGCTGGTAGTCATGCACTGAGATGCTAGAAAAACTTCAGAAAAAGTAAGTGTCAGGTGAGGCTTTATGTGCTATCATAGTTCACAGGTGATGCATTACAAGCACTTCCACCTGTTGTGTTCTCATATTTGAATTCACACTTCATTTTTGTTAGGATGTAGTACAGTTGAACCCCTTTATAAGAGACTCTGATGTAACAAACTAATGGGTATATGAGACACGAGTCTGCTACAGTGAAATACGTGTTGATAGTAAAATGCATACGTGGTACCCTGCTTATAAGAGACGTCTCATATAAAAAACCAGAATTGCTGCACAGAGCGTGCCTCTCATAAAGGGGTTCAACTGTATGTTCAAAATCGTGCTGTTGGCCAGTTTCCCACCATTTACCCAAAGAGACACAGGCAGTGCTAGGGTGACTGTATGGGTTTGTTGGAATAGCATACCTTATTGTGTTGTAGCACAGGCAGGCACAAACAAGGACATTTCTGGCTTCTCATGGTATGATATAATCAACATACTGCTTACTTAAAAGTAAAGGTAAAGAGCTTATACTATACAGATCCAATTGAATTCTGTGGAAATGGCAAAATCCAGGCCTGTACAAGTAGTTCTCTCATGCTTGTTTCCAAATGACTGTGTACACAATTGCGTTTGTAGTGTCAAATATATGAATACATGCATAAGTTACCAATTATTTTCATGCAATTTAAAACATAGAAATAACAATTTCAAAAAGCCAACTGGTCTTGTTTATAGCAAAGTTTGACAGACATCCCTTTTTTCATTAATTCAGAGGACCTTATTGAGACATTTCTAGGTTGTAGGTGGCACAACTTCAGTATACATATGTGAGCACTGTTCAATGAAGCAAGAGAATCGAAAAGCATTACCATGACATCTTTTATGTGGAAATGGCGTGTTATAAGACCTGGCAGCAGAAGTATAAACAGCTGTTCTGCATGTAGAAGTACAACCTGCAAGCTTTGTAGGCAGTGAAACCACAAAAAAAAAAAAGACCGACAATGTTAGTTGTTGTATGTGCACTTATCAGTCCATTTGGTTTGTAATTACAACACCAAGTGTTACTGTAAAAGAAGTCTTTAATGTTCTTGCTGGGACACTTTCTGAATGAAAAAACCGTAGGGCCCTTAAGCTTCCCTTTTTAGAGTTGAACGCGCTAGTGTTATCTGCACGCAGGGACGCATGCACACACACTATTGCCTTCCCAATCACTAGCCTGTTTTCGCTTCTCAATGGAGGTGTAAACTGTGCCGCAAAGAAAGCCTAACTGCAAACGCCCCCAGCTCCCATCTTTATTTGCATCTACCTTGCCTTTCTACTCTCATCCACCTCTGCATTTTCGCCCACAACCAAAGATGCCCGCACTGCCTACACTGGAATTCTTGTGAAACCTCTTCAATGTTGTCGCAATAATGCCTTGGCTAACATATTCAGACAGTAATTTAAATTGCTCTTTATTTTTGAACAAGTTATACCATTTTGGATCAGTAGCCCAGCTGTGTTAATTTCAGTAGTTTTTCTTGTTATTGAAGTAGTGCAAGCCTTCATGCACATTTAGTGAAGACCATCATTCTTTTTAATGAGATTGCTTTCAAAGAGCTCTTTTTACAGCAATGCCGGCATCGGTGTTATAGTTGGCGTCATTGGTTGTGGGCAAAAAATTATCAATTTTTCCATGACGGGAAAATCAAGAAGGATGGAAATAAAATAGTCAAAATTTTCAAGTATGAGTGAGAGTTGAACCGAGGCTGTCTGCAGGTCAAGCAGGTGTTTCACTACAGAGCTATAATTTGTTTCGAGGCTGCTTTGGAAAAAACACTATATGACTGTCACGTAGGGAAATAGTCTCCGTAATGCTGTTGCATGCAGAAGCATAGAGCTGTACCAGGCTTCAAAACATGTGAATTGAGCTACGAGTGGGTGTTTTAAAGGTCTACTCATTACAAAGCACTTAGACATATTTAATTACTATTGCCAACAGAATCATCGACAAAGTGAACAGCTGCATAAGTTCACGTGTTGCGAACAGATGCATTGTGGGCCCTTCTCTGAGTCGTAAAAGGAATAATGGTGTAGTACGCATCTAACAGCTGTGCTTGCAATAGGCATTCAATGATACTTTGAAACATCCAATGTTATGTGCAGAGTCGTTCGTTTCCTGACCGTACTCTTTCAGTTCAAAAGGCAGTGCGCATGAGGCCCGATTATGCTATCACGATCTCCTCTTGAAAGCGAAGCTCAAGCAAGCTCCAATTTTTATCTTCTTGAATCAAGAAGTTAAGCAATTGTAGAAGCATACATGACCTGCTACATTCTAAAAGAATAAAAATAAAGTTTGGGAAAATAATATATAAGCAGTGGCTTCGGTGCACTGACTGAGAGTATAGGTCTTGCGATGTCTGTTCACATATTAATTGTTGTATGAGCTATAAAGATCTCAATCTAGTTTGAATGTTCTCTTTGGCGAAAACAAAATTACTGAAATTCTCATTAAAATAAGCCGGGACAGTTGTTTTCTTTTTTTGAAGAGATTTAAAATTAATTGTTCAATTTTGATACATTGACAACTTTCATACAACCAGTCTGTTTGGTGCACATTGTATAAGTTCTCATTTCTATTACTTTCTTTTCTTCTTTTTCTGGCTTCTCCCCCAAAAAACAGCCATTGCAGTCATTCCAGCTGTGTTGCAGTTATTGCTGCTGCCTTTCTGCCCAGAAAGTCCACGATATTTGCTCATTTCGAAACAGCAAGAGTCTTTAGCACGAGAAGGTAAGCGTTCAGTATTGGTTTACTTTCTACAATGATTAATAGGACTAAACCACCATTTGAGTTATTTTGGTGCTGAATCCACATGCCTTTTCACTGAGCATGCGTATTTTTATGCATAATTTCTCCCATGTAGAGACCTCCCTTATGTAATGAATAGAATGAGAATGCGTATTGAGTTGTTAGTAAGCACAGGCATGAGCGTGTGGTTGAAGTTCATCAGTGTAAAGTAATGTTCTGACTTGTGACGATTGTTCATGAAGTATGTAGTGAGACCAGCATATGGTATGTAGCATCATTAATATTAAGTGTGTACCTGTGCTCTTTTGAAGCAATAATAATTGTAGCATAGAGGCAATGTTGAAACACTTATTACAGTTGGACTTTCGTTTACTTGTGCCTGAAAATTTTGCTAGACTTGGTTTTCGCAATTTTAAGTTCCCAGCCTTCAGCTACACAAATATTTTTTGCGTATACTACAGTCAAAATAGTCTTGTTTACTTGTGCATTGTGAATGAGCTTCTCTTAGCAAACTATTGATGACATTTAGACAATTGACATGATGGTTAGCTTTGATGGTTGAGTATTGTTCACATGGTCATAGTAGCATTGTTTATAAGATACAACCATGTGCATTTGGAAGAAGCATGATTGAGGCACCATCACAGTGGTGCATGCAAGGGTTTCCAGTGCCTTATGGTGTGCCAATCCACTCTTAATAACCTTGCAAGCCTTTGTGTCAGATCGAGCTAGGAATATCCTAGACAGAGAACTTTTTTCTTGAGGAAGACGCACTAACATGCAAAGCGTCTAGAAGAATGTTAACTATGCTTTTATGAAGTAAACATCATCTTGATAATATATTTTACTGCTTGATGAGAGTGATTATATTACAGTTGAATTAGATTTGTTTACATGAATTTCACCTGTTTATTGTTGCGATTTTTTTCTTGCCATAATGAGGCGAAAATGTTGTAGGCCCGTGTACTCAGATTTGGGTGCACGTTAAAGAACCCCAGGTGGTCGAAATTTCCGGAGCCCTCCACTACGGCATCTCTCATAATGATATGGTGGTTTTGGGACGTTAAACCCCACATATCAATCAATCAATCTCTTACCATAATGTCTTACAGGATCTGTAAAGTGTTTCTTAAATAAATAATAGTATTAACTATAGGTGTCACGCAACCACATGCTGTGTGCATAAATATTTCAGTGCATCTAAAGGCACTTTAAGCTAAAAACACTTTGTGGCTCGAAGCGCTGTATTTTTTGTCATATTACGATGTTCAAAGACTACACAGCTTCCGATTGCTCTTCAGCAAGTTGCTTTTGGAAGGGAGCTGTTTAAAATTAGACTACTGAGCAACAGTTACAAAGACATATAACTTCAGCGGAGCGTAACATTAAGCAAGTTGGTGCATAGTTTAATGAAATAGTTGTAGTGCAGCTGAGAATTAAGAAGAAAAGCTAGAGAAAAGAGGATAGGATGCCATACCAGTTCTCAATCGTGTCAGGTGCCAGGCATTAAAAACAGCGTAATTGTGATAAAGCCATTTTTTCTGCTCCAGTAGTTTATTGCTATTAAAGAAACTAAAAAAAACTTCAACTGCACCTAGTTGGTATAATACTATCACTGCTTGTCCCATCTCTTCTTTGTAGTTCGTCCGGGTTTGCGCTGAAGTTTTTACTTTGAAAGAAAAAGGCAAGGTTGTCACATGAAGTCATGTTATTGGTACGTGGTGACATGAGATGCACATAACGCATGCACTACAACAATGCATATGATATTATGACGTACAAACTGGCATAATCGGTCGCGAGCCAGCACTGGTGCACTCTTGAATGGTGATGTTGGTATGGTGGCCCATCTAGCAAACCAACCTGCAAATGCTTCTTTTTGTACATAGTAAATTGCATAAATAGCCATTGTATCTTAACAACACTTGAAACAAAGAACAATGTCTACAGGTTTTAATCGTGTAAATGTTTTTTCATGTATACTGTTACAAGGATTTTGGTCATTTCATCACGTAAATTTTGTACTTCTTTTAATATTATATTTACAACATTGAGAGCGAACCAAGATGTTGGCACTTTTGTGGTTGTCGCTTTACCAGCCCAGGTTTTTCTCTAGATTCTATGTATTAACTTTATGCCATTAGCTTTCTTTGAATTCCTATTCATACTTATTATGACATTTGGCAAAACATTTCCTTCTGTCCAGGTTTCTTTAGACATGAGTGCTTCTTCACTACCTTCCGGTATCAGTGCCCCTAAATGCGTATGCAAATTTAGACCAAACTCGCATGCCTCGATTATCGGAATGTTGTGCACACATGCATAGTTTGAAGAACATAGTGATAGTGCCGATATTCGAGACTCTGGCAGCATGTGTTATAGGCAGTCTATGCGGTACTTTGCATGCATTCCAGAATGTACCTCACTATTCGCACACTGTACGATTAGAGGTGGCAAAACCATTAGAGAAAATATGGTGGTGCTTGTGCTGAGTGATAATTCATTTAACAATTGCAGCAGGCAAAACCTGGTCACAGTGACAAACAAAAAGTGTGTGTGTCACTGTAATTAAGCCAACAATTGCAGCCATGTCATCTAACATTGTAAAAGAATGTCACTGGTGCTAATCATAATGTCACTAGGCTTTAGTGTGCCACATCACTGGTATAAATCTCACCTTAGTGGAGCTTGATGAAAGATTTTGGCGTTTGCTGCATGACAATTTGCATTGACACAACTCCCTGTACCAGAATGAACGACAGTATGAACAGAGGGCTGTCATATGGAGGCCAGGAAGGGAGAGAACTTATTTGCTGGTAACTCTGATCATTCATGGTGTAATAAAAAATATGTGTGGAACTCTGATCATTCATGGTGTAATAAAAATATGCGTGGACTGTATATGCACACTTATGGTTCTCAGTGTCAGCCATATTTTATGACTTTACAATACATAGTATAGCATGAAGAGTGTTTTTTTTCCTGCGAGGCAAATTATAATGGTAAAGTTATGGTATTTAAAGGTGTCCTGAAACACTTTTTTGAGTAACCATAGAATTAATTCACTGGAAAAGCGTATTACCTCGCAAATTCAACGCCGCAAAAATTTAAAAAATCCGCCCAGTACGAGTGGAGTTGCTAAAATTTGTCACACGCTGCAATTGCATTCTCCCATTTCTTGTCCCGATGAAAGCGCTGGAAGCTAAGCAGGGAGAAACGGGAGGGGCAAACAAAAAACTTCACTCGCGCCTCGTGACCTTGAGCACTTTTTTTTTCTCTTCGATTACGTGGCTTTTTCAGTGCGATTGTGCGCACGCGTGGCCAAGTGACAGTCTCTCGTGGCGACCTCTGTAACAACCGAGCGCGCCATGTTCAAATTGGCCAATTGCTCATAGACGGGCTTGCTACGAGTGATCTTTGGGCTTATTTTGTGATTTGTTGAGAGGAAAGAAAGCTATTTGAGCTCACTTTGATAATTTATTTTGAATTCCAGGACGCGTGCTGCGTTATAATATTTGGTTCGCGTGTTGTCGGGAGCCTCAACTACCGATATGCAGTGTTTTCTGACCATGCTCAAAAAGTGTTGCAGGGCCCCTTTAATGGAAGTACAGTTGACTCATGTTGATAGGAAGTCCAGAAAACTTTGAAATATATGAACTTCTAATTAAGTAAAATCTACAAAAAACTGCACTTTTATTGTTTTAAACCTGACAGTTTCCTAAAAAATAGTCCATCATCTTCTTCTCTTGCTGAACCTGGCTGTGGTAAGTTTCCCAAGCATTATACAAGTCAAAGTCCTTCTTCTGCATTGTCTTCTTCAACAAAACATAAAAACTGCTGCACAAGCGCACGACTCGCAGCAACATCGGTTGCCCTCGGTAGTGGCTCATTTCTGATTTCGTTGTCGTCTACTGGTCGAACCATCTGCACAATTGTGCTGTCTATCAGTGGACCACATGTATCGACATTGCTGTTCACGGCGATGAATTTTTAAACGTTAGTAACAGCGGCCCAAAACTACCGGTGTGAGTTCACTTGTTTGCGCTTTTATGAAATTTGAGAGCGTGCTATAAGGCCGTTTCACATGACACAAAAAGTATTGATTTTCATTCTGTGAATTCGCTCGCAGTGAAAAAAAAAAGAGCAGTTTGATCTTGCTGCAGCGGTCTGCGGCGAGCTACCAACATTTTGGAAATTTTTGCTCAGACTGGTGGAGTGATTTTTTGCTCGGGACCTGTTGAAATAGGGCCAGGCCCACCAACCAAGCTGTTGAAATTGTGTCGATGTGTTTGTTTTGGTCATGGTTTAGGTCACATGGTTTTGGTAATGGCCAACGTTGCGCATCTTAAAATAGATTTAGATTGGAAAGTGTTCTTAGTTGACCAGGCATGCATGCACTTCATTATTCTTTGTCGAAACATAATAATATCATGACGTACGTTAAAGGGGTTCTACTCTATACGGCTGATGTAGAAGCCTAGCTAGTGTTTCTGCCGCATGCAAGTGTACCATGCACGATTAACATCCCCTGCCCATAGCTTCAGTCATCGCAGTCATCACAGGCTAGGTCAACAAAACCACACTTTATGGCTGTGTTAGCAATAACGCGCAAATGTTGCATAGAGGGACTGTCCGCTCTAGAAAAATAACAAAGGGTTGATGCTTACGCCTTTGGTTGTCGATGTGCTTGGCTCGCAAGGGTTATCCGGGGGTTGTCCTCCGTCTGGTGGCTGGCGCAAGAGAGACGTTGTCGCTGTCGGCACGCTTGTTTCGATCAGCCTCGCAGTTTCTCTCTCCCCAACAAAGGTTGGTTTCCTCGATGAGGTGGGGTAACCCATTTCGTGAGCAAAGAAAAGGGGATAGTGAGCACCAGCCGCGGGGTGACCGTTCCCTTCGAAAGAGGCTTCATTGTCTCATTTCTCGAAAGAACAGACACGGCCCACAACTAGGCTGTTGCGCTGCCGTAAAAGGGAAAGGAACCATGGGCGCACATGCTTCCCCTCAATGCATCATTGCATTAAATTTGAAAAATTCTGCAGTGTCTGCCACAAATAATGGCGACAAGAAATCTTGCTCACTGCGGAATCACAGTGTGAAAATCGAAGAGAATTTGCAGTCCATGCGAAACGGAACTGCCATTAGCGGCAGTTGCGAACACAGCGAATGGAGCGCACAAAACGATTTTTTCTCGCTGCAATCACAGCATGTGAAACAGACTTAATGCCGCACTTTCGTGCGATGTCTTATTTGGCGATGCCTTCCTTGTCAACTTCTTTCAAGTGAGGTCTAGCGTAGGGTAGAGGCTGCGAGTTGCCATTATTAAATGTCGCCATCAAAACATTCAATGATCAGATGCGAAAACATGTGCGGAATCAACCCAAAGCGGGCTAGCGGGTTAGTTGGTTAATCATGTTAAGTTAGAACAGTGCAACTGAATGTGGACAGAGCAGGACATGCAAACACACGCACACTGCACTATGTGTGTGTTTCTGTGTTGTTCTCCCTTAGCATCGCACTTTTTTTAACTACAGAACACGTATACTTTCTAACTTTGTTAGAATCAACCCAGCATGGGGCTGAAACATTGATAAACCACAAAGAAAGGTCTAGTTAGCCGATGCAGTCAGTACAATGCCCCAGCATTCACTAAAGAAGATTGTCGCTTCACGAGCTGTGGCACTGCGGGCAGTTGTGTTGGCAACAACATTGCGGTTTGACAGCTGTCTTGGCACATGAAAAATTCCCCATTTTATTGAGAAATCACTGTCCTCTCGGACCTCTCGACTGAAAAATAACTTTTTATTAACCAACGTTACGGGCTTTTAACTTCGCATTATTGAGCATTTTTTTCCCTGTACGCCTTCATGCAAGACTCTTGGGACCACTTGATTTCTAATTAACCAAACATTCTAATTAGCCGACTTCGAATTACTGGGAGTTGACTGTACTACCATAATAAAAAAAATATTCCTGTTGTATGACAAATGTAGTTAGTTCTGGGTTTTCTAACTCAAGGTTTGGTTGTAGTAGTGTGCTTCGACGCACATGCAAATGGGTTCATCTGAGCACTTATATTGTGTGATCTAAGCTAACACAATCGTTTTTCTTTCTTTTTTTTTCCACCCACAGCTCTACAAAAGCTGAGATGCTCAAGTATGGTTGAAGATGATATTGAGGAGATGAAAACGGAGGAGCAAGCTCAACAGCAGGAAGCTAAAGTGCGTGCACCATTCTGTTACTTTTGTAGAAGAAAGGACGGCATATTTAAGTGAAGGTGGAGATATACACTCCATAATTAACACGGACAGACAAGGCTACAGTTATTTAATACAATGCCAGAGTATTGAACTCCCGCCTGACATTATCACATACTTCTTTTCAGGTAACTATGATGCAAGTGATCACAACTCGATCACTCCAGCTACCACTGCTGATTGGAGTGTTGATGCATCTCTCACAACAACTCTCTGGCATTATAGCTGTAAGTAGTCTCTTTTTGTTTTCTTAAGATACACTTTATTTCACTTTCTTTCATTAACCAGCTTTTATAAATAGTTTAATCTCTCACAATTTTTTATGGGAGCAATTGTAATGCAAGCATTTGCAGAAGAAATGTTTTGCTTAATACATTAATTTTTACAATAATTACATTATGTAAGCACACATTTGGTTAAATGACAATAGCCAACATTTTTTTCTTGATTGATTATTTAAAGCATTGGGTATTTAGTACATAGACATTCAGTTAAATTTTGCTACAGTGAAATTCATGGGGTATGATGAAGGTTTTGTTGAAGGGGAATAGAGTATTGCCTATTTGTCACTGAACCTAAATACACGACGTCAGATTTCGTGAAATTTGTAATATTCCACATCGGAGAACTACTTATGGGGAACAGAGATTGTCATACAGTCATCACATCTCCTGAATAATTATGTTCTATTGCATATGCACAATATCAGCTTCGTTTTTTTTTCCTTCATGACTTTTTGTGTTTTTTCTTTGCCCTGAGGTATAATTTACTTTAGCAGCAATATTTTGTGCATAAGCTTACCTAGCATAATTTTTTTAGATTTGTTCTTGCAACATTTCCTGTATTAAAACTACATTTTTACTTTTGTCAAAGCATGTATTATATAAATTGGAAATACTGGATTTTTTTGTACATTGCTATTTTCTGTATTACTTCTTGCAGTGCTGCACTGCATTATGTTACTACTTGCTACGTGAATTGATGTTGAAAATAAATTGACCCTGAATTTTGGCTGCAATATCCCCCCATACAATCAAAAAGGGCCTGGAAATACACTAACATCTTTGTGTTAAAAAACAGGGCTGCCACCAAAACACCAGTATGATGCCGTGTCCAAGCAAATTGATAAGCTTGAAAACAACCGAATCGGTGAGGTTGAAAATGTGCAGTTTGATTTAGCTGTGTGGCACTATCTTCATGACCACCATGATGGGTGTTTCAAGAAATGTATTCACTATTATTAAAAAATTCAGGAACGAGGTATCTGCATGCTACCTGCGGTGTTCCCTTTACTGTAGCAGAAGGCATCTTCAGAAACATTTATCACGGCTGTAGTTGTAGAAATTAACACAATTAATTTTTTAACAAGTGGAAATAAGCAGCTGAGTCAAATGGGTGAATTGAAGTCCTTCCTGCGAACAGTCCATAGCCACTTCGAAGTTTCTGAAAGGTTGAAATTTCCGTATACCTCCACTACAGTGTCTCTCGTAATCATTGGGTGGTTTTGGGTCGTTGCACCCCAGATATCAATCAAATCGAGTGCACACTTTTGCAACCGTTTGGTTCATTGGTTAGATAAGAGGAATGCAAGTACTTGGCAAACGTGAAGGGTGACACAGTAACAATGATGAATACCTGTAGGCATCCGACAGGCAGTTAACCTCCTGGCTAAGAAGTGACAGAAAGATGCAACAGCCAGTTTTGCTGTTTTTTTTATAACGATGACACTGCACACTCAGTACTGTGACTACTTTCATTGGCAGCATGTGCTGGCCAACGTAGGTGCCATTAGTTTTTGGACACAACAGCCAGGAAGGGAAATGTAAGAATAGGCAAGGTAATATGCCTGACCCTGCGTCTATGTAAACTAAGTGGAACCAGCCTGGGAATTGTACCCGTAGCCCTAGGTTTATCAGCATCACCAAATTCTCAACACCGTAGCCGCTGTGATGGCACAACGGGTCAATGGAAGATTGTTGTGCAAATATTGCCAAATTTTGTTTTTCACTTTTTTCGTAGGAGTCATAGGCGAAGCCACATTATCGCATTCATTCTCCTCAGGTGTTCTACTACTCTGTGCGACTGTTTGAGGCTGCTAGCCTGCCACCAAGCACTGCCAAGTTTGCCACCATAGGAGTTGGTGTAGTCATGGTAGTCATGACGCTAGTTTCCATTCCACTGATGGATCGAGCAGGACGGCGAACGCTGCACTTGTACGGCCTGGGGGGCATGTTCATCTTCAGCATCTTCATCACTATCTCCCTGCTGGTCAAGGTTAGCAGAACCAGAACATTATTACAGGTCTCATTTTAGGTATAGTCACTGCATGTTTCTAATCTCAGCAAAGTCCTAACTCCGTAATTGGTAGCTTCATGCATACTTTAAAGGCTGCTGCTGTTGTCTGTGTTTATGCATGTAAAAAAATGTTAGGCTTTAGTGATTAATGCAGCTCTTAACTTGTTTACTGCAACAGCAGTTTCTCTGATCTTTTGCAAAGCTTTGTGTAAAGCTTCTGCTATCCTTTGAAAAGACCAAGTGTATGCACTGAAGCTAATGTATTGACACAATCTGGTGACAACAATACCGTGGTTTTGGTAAAATCACAAGAATAACATAACAGTGGCAGCTTGAAGACTCTGGTGACACACAGATGATGACAGTGTATAGTTATAACACTTTTTTCACTTACTTCTAAGACAGTGAAAAACTGTTTTTGTTAGATGAACATTGAAAGTGGCTGCTGTGCTGAAAGCAGTATTGTAAATGTCTGCTGTATTGTGCGCTAGGAATGCTGTGGAAAAGTATTGCATTTTCTTGCCTTCAGAACAGGCATCACGACTGCGAGCCTGCAATTTGTACACAACTTTGTGCAAAGTACCAAGCACAAAGCTATGTGATAGCATTTGGAATGTTGTACCTATTTGCACCTTGTTTGCTCCCTGATTGGGGTAATGGAGAAACTAATTTTATAGCTCATGACCAGAGGGAAGTTTGAGTGTAAAAGTGGCGTGCCATCAATTGTATGACAATAAGGGACTATGGCAGAATGGTGGGGGAGCAAGGATAAAGATGAAAGGACAGATAAGTGAATTAAACTCAATTTCGAACTTTTAACTTCCATTGCAGTAAAATACTTTATATTTTAGTGTGCAACTTAGAATATACACATAAATGGTTCATGCCTACAGTCTCACTACCATTTCGTTGTTTTTTTTAATAAACGGCTGGAGTGGTACCGGTCAACAGGCTCAGACTTCTCTTTTACACCCCCATATGAAGCTTGGCAATTCGTAGATTAAACCGGGGCAATCACATTTTCTGAATATTACAGTGCTGCGTGCAGTGCAGAGCCTCCATTTTGAAAAACTGTTCTCACACTCCTTTCTTATGCCTGAACAATCTTTATTTCACGTGCAGTGACGTAAAGTCGCTGTTCGGCGACTTGAGGGAGCCTGTAGCTCGTGGATTGGTCTAAACCAGTCACCAGAACAGGCTACGCCTTCGCCTCCCTGTGGGGGAGAAGGGTGGAGAGGCTGCGCAAAAATTTAAAACCAGCTGCAACTAATGTTCTAGCTTTCGACACTTCCTTAATATAGCACGTATTCACAAAATTCTTGTGGCTGCATATTCACACAACAAAAGTGCAGATATTTCTTTTTATGACAATTTTTTGACCTCGCAGTTGTTTACTGGTCATTTAACATTTGTAAGCTGAGTTCATTTGCATCCTTATGTGATGTGTAACATGCAGGGAGCAGCATTTCATTAAAAAAATTTTTGTCCTCTTCTGTGACTGTGTTAAGATCACCTTCATTTCTTTTCATGAACTTTTTTTCTGTGCAGCAGGTCCTGATGATTATCTTTTGCCTTCTCTTTTGCAGTTCTTATACCATTGGATCACTTATATGAGTGTAGTGAGCACTTTGTGCTTTGTAGTCTTTTTTGCAATTGGTCCAGGTGAGTCATCTTGCATTTACTTCATGAATTAGACCATGTGCAAATTTAAGACTACTAATTCCATTTGTCAGCACCTAGATGATAAATGTAAAGTTCTGAAGACTGAATTTAAAAAAAATGGCAATAGATATATGACCATGTGATGTATACAGCAAGATGTGTGTGTGTGTGTGTGTGTGTGTGTGTGTGTGTGTGTGTGTGTGTGTGTGTGTGTGTGTGTGTGTGTGTGTGTGTGTGTGTGTGTGTGTGTGTGTGTGTGTGTGTGTGTGTGTGTGTGTGTGTGTGTGTGTGTGTGTGTGTGTGTGTGTGTGTGTGTGTGTGTGTGTGTGTGTGTGTGTACGTAAGCACTACTAAATAATGTATTATAATATTTGCAAATATACTATTATTGAATTTGTTAGTTTATGCATGCAAAATCTTATCAGTTGACTTGATATAGTACTTAAGTAAATTAAATAAATTTGATCATGGGCTGTAGAAGTGATTCTGGGTTACAGGTACTTATGTTTCTACCCAGTGTGCTGGAACAGAACAAAAAGTAAACACAGTACAAAGAGCATTTTTGATTAGTATGAATATTTAACCAAAATATTATTTATCATTTTGTTCCAGAGTAAAACCAAAATATTTGATATCTTTTTGGGTCAAGGGCAAATTGGGAAATCTTGAGAGAACTAGGCCATCAAACATGAGCGTCAATGCACATCTTTAAGGACAGTATTAGAGCGTATCTCAGGCAAGGATTCGAAGATAAAGATGTGTAGAAATTATGCGAAAAATGGAAATGGTGGCAACCCAAACTGTTTATATAACACAAATGAACTTTGGTGTGACGATGACAGAAGGCAGCGTGGAGAGTGAATTCTCGGCGCTGAAGTTTGTTCTATTAGCACAGCGGTCATACACATCAGTCTACACTTGATGACGTGCTGCTTTTGATTTCACGCTCACTCCCTTTATGCAAAGCATTCAGTCTGCTCAGAGAATTCGTAATCTGATTATGTTAAAATTAAATAGTGTATTTTTATCATTGGTTTGGTTTCAAATTTTTGCATGCAAATATAAACTGTTGCAAAACGATATAAAATGTTTTGATTTTTCATCCCAGAACAGAACTTTCGTCAGTGAAACAAAACTAAGACTGAAACGAAACATTTTGTTCCAGCACCCTGCTTTTGCCCGATATACTGTACAAGCTTGCAGCCTTATTCATGCCTAACCAATATTCATGCTATAGCGGCTTTTAAGATTACCATCTTTTGTTGTTACCGCTTCAATTTCATTTGCCTTGCACGATGCAAGAAGCATGATTGCCTAAGTATATCACTCGTGTATTTTTTATACTTATTTATTATCTTGGCATTTACCTGACAGTAGTTTCTAGGTGTGGAATGGGTAGTAATAGTGATTTTATATAATTTTCCTTGCAGTAAAAACCATACGTGAATGGGAAAACTCCTGAAATAAAGATATTGGGAAAACATTGCCCCTAAATGCTTTAGTTGTAGTTCTAAAACCTTGTAATTGACCTTTATCCAACATTTTCAGCAATTAGTAAATGTCACTTTAACTGTACTTGACTTCGTACTTGGGTAAAATGCTTATATAGGACAGCACATTGTAGCCATGATGTGTGTTTTTCACTTTATTACTGTGTAGAAAATATAAAGCGTGCACTTCCAACTTGGTAGCCCACATTTTGAGTGGGAAAATCCTTCAGAGAAACAAATCCAATCCACATATTCTAGTCCTGAGAAATTCCAAGTGATTGTGTAGGACTTTAAAAAGGTCATGAAAGAAATGGAGCTGCCTCGTTGTAATTTTTACTGCGTCAATAGACAACAGGCATGCTCACTTGTAAATATTTTCGGGCAATATGTAGTCTATATTTAATGATGAACATTTGAAATCCTAGCCTTCGTGCTATCCTAAAATGATAATGTGACACCGCCAACTGGCGTAGGCACTAGCCAGTGATGTCATCTTTGAACATTTGAAGCTGTAAACATATCCTTAGCCTTCATTCTCTCAAACAATAGATTTACATAATAGTTTTGTAGTAAAAGAATAACACTAAGCTTTTTTACCTCACAGTTGAGCTCAAGAATTAAAAGCAGTGTTCATTCTAACCACGGTGGAGGTGCATCTAAAAAGCACCTGTTTCAGCATACCAGTATAGCACACGCTTCTAGCAGTCTGATAAATCGTCTTCTCAACTGGGGAACATCAATTCAGCACGATCTATGTTTCCAAATGCAATGAATGCTTGTTTGATATAGCAATAAAATCATTTTCATGTGTATTACCACATCGTGTACCCGGTCTTTTGTCATTTCTAGGGGATGAAAACAATTTCTTCTCCCGACACAACTTTCACCCTGTCGTGCAGTGCTGAACAAAACATTTTTTGCCAATCACATGTTTACCAAAAAACTTGTTTCTCAAAAAACAGTGCAAAAGCAACACATGTGCACAAAACTCAATGCAAACAAATACTCGCTACTGTATGCAGCGTGTGTGAATGAGGCCCCTCCCCTCTTTCAACTGTACAGCACCACTCGTTGGAGGACCTCCGAAACGCAAGAGAATAGTCAGCGCTGTGAAGCGCCGCAGTTTAGAGACCTCTCGCATTTCTCCACCTGGGTTATAACATGTAATGGTGCTGCTCAGGACGGTCAGCTATTTTAGTATCATGCATTTGTGTGTGTTAAGTCATTATGGCACCACAGTTGAAGTGGTATGATGCTCTGAACATAGGTTAACTATGACTAAACAAGCCTCATGTGTTGTCATGTCAATTGCTGATGGCAGAACTTTTTATTGGCTGACTAAGATGACATGAGCTGTAAAGTTGAGGGGAACGTGTGCTGGTAAATCAAAATTGGGGTTTTATGGTTATTAAATCAACTGCAACAATGAAAAAAATTAAGGTATATATTTGAATGGAAGGCCGTGATTCTATATATGCTTGTTGTTCAAAATTTGTCTTTCACAACGCTCTTGAGGTAATAGATCGCCAGTGCTCAAATGTCCCAGTTGAACCATCAGAAATGGAGCTGTAATATTAATGCTATGTCATACATACATACATACATTTGGAAAATTGCACTGTGAAACTTTTTTTGGTGGCTGAAGGTCTTTGGAGTGTAGAGGCAGCAGGGCAAGGAAACACCAGAATTTTCATCTTCAGAAATATGGAAGTTAAATAAAAAAGTTAATGTAATCCATATACTTTTTTCATTATTTCTGCTCTGTGCCTTCACCAGTGTCTAAAAAAGTGTAAAAAAAAGTAAAGAAATAAAGGGGTCCCAATGAACTTCTGCCGATTCCACTAAATCTAGCTTTTTTTTTTTTTTTTTTTTGTACCTAGCCTGGTTGAGTATTGTGGCCAGTGCCTATGCATTCCTTCGGGACCAGAATTTTACTTTGATGCTGAAATTGGCCTTCGCTGAATAAATTGAACTTGATTGGTTTGCACATAGGCAGTCGACCCGTATAATGGCCCTGATGGTAACCCTATTCAATTATGTGCCCAGTAACTTGGCACCGCCTGCTTGCCTCTATGTGGGAAAAAAATGCAACAAATGGTTCAAGGTTTGTTCCTAAACCCATCAGCCTTCAGCTTACACTTGTGCTCTTTTTATTTTTACCTGAACAGGAACTATTCCTTGGATGCTCATGGCAGAGCTCTTCTCCCAGGGGCCTCGGCCAGCTGCCATGAGCATAGGTGTCCTCATTAACTGGTCAGCCAACTTCATTGTGAGCCTCATTTTCCCCCCAATGCAGGTAAGTATTATAGCATATGTTGGCTTTTCATTTGTGCTTTTGTGTCCTGTTTCTACTGGATACCCACTGCGGATGTATAACTGGAAGCCAAAAGGAAAGAAACTGCTTTTTCTGTTTGTTCAGCAGCACGATTTAACTTGCAATACAGGTGCTGGAAGCTACATTCTGCGAGCAGTAGGAAACTTGCGTGACTGATATTACAAGTGACAAATTATGTACAGATTATAGATGAGAAAAGGTTGAATTTTAAGGGTTTGTAGGCAATGTTTTCAGGTATGTACTTGAAGAGCTGGTGAGGATAAACTGTTTCCTCTTAATCTGGTGACATACATGAGTGAATATACCAAAAACGCGTTGTAGGTGGTAGGTTATGTTGCCATGAAAACCACTCGGTAATATTGATACGGGACTCGCGTTGAAATAGGGTAGAGGGAGAAGTGAATGTGTTCTGGGCCAGGCCTGACTTCTGCAACCATCAATCATCCCGCCTGTATAATAAACATCTCTCACCCGTAACATAATTGGTGGAGAGTGCTGGGTAACGCCTTGGAGCACCGGACAAGTACGGCGGAAAACACACCCCCTGGAGCTTCGCCAGAGCCGCAGACTCTCGGGACTTCCGCCGCTACCAGTCATCATGAACCCTGACGGCGAAATCCAACCAGCTGCGCCTAACACCTATGGACACCATTACAGGCAGCCGCGCCCATTCTGTGGGAAACCTGGAGAGGACGTCGATGAATGGCTCAAGCACTATCAGCGGGTGAGTCTGTATAACCACTGGGACACTACCGGCCACCGCAACTACGTACCACTTTTTCTTGAGGGAACTGCGTTGATGTGGTACGAGAATCGTGAAGAGAATTTGAATACGTGGGCGAATTTCATGGAAGAAATCAAGAAGTGTTTTGGAGATCCGACCACGATAAAGAAGCGTGCTGAGCAGACCCTGAGCCAACGTGCTCAAGTACCTGGAGAGACATGTACGATGTATATTGAAGAAGTTCTCAAGCTTTTCAAGAGTGTGGACCCACTGACTGATGAGGATAAAGTCGGGCATCTCCTTAAAGGCATTGCGGAGGATATATATCACTACCTTATTGGAAAGGTTGACTTGCAGTTGGCCAATGACATCATCCAACATTGCCGAACATTTGAGGTCCTTAAAGCTCGGCGCATTTCGGCAAAGTTTCGTCGACTCCCCAACGTCACAACTGTCGCAAGCATCAACGTAGTCCCTCCACTCAGCGATCTGGCGTCAACACTACGAGAAATAGTGCACGAAGAACTTGATCGGCGGGACGCTGCTGTGCCTTCGATAGCACATGGCCACGGTTCTTATACGCCATGCGGCCCCCCCCCACCTGCGACCATCAACGCCGCGGGCTTCGTCGACTCAAGAATGCCAGTACAGTTGCGTCGTCATGCCTATATGTTTGATCCGCGAAACGACTCCGTGCAAAGGTCACCCCCTGATAAGGCAGCGTGGCAAGATTATCCCGCTGATCATCTTCAGCAGCGAGTAGGGCGTGAAGCACCTGTGTGCTTTTACTGCGTCGTTCGTGGACTACTCAGAGTGGCATTGGTCACCTCTGCCGCAGTATCAATGACCCCCGGCATCCTCACGGCGCCCAAGTACTCGGAGAGACTACTGCTGGCCACCCAACAGCTACTACCGAATTGACTTCCAACAGACCTTCCGCAGCGATTCGCTGGCTTCTGCGCGGAGTGTGACACCACCAGCCTCCTCCCGCCAGCATCGGTCACCATCACCAGGTCGTCGGCGTCTCACTTCTCCGCTGGGAAACTAGACGCCGCTGCCGGTGGAGCTGAGGTCGCCGGACATTTTTCTCTGGGTACAGATATGCCTCCGCCAGTTTCCACGCTACAAAATAGGGTCAGTGTTCTTATAGATGGTGTCCCCACGTCCGCGTTAGTCGACTCGGGAGCAACTGTTTCCGTCTTGAGCAGAAATTTTAAGACTCGTCTTGGCAAGAAAGTGATATTGTCTTGGGGAAGCCAGACAACGTTTCGTGCAGTGAGTGGAGAACCGTTGCGCCCAGTGGTAGTTTGTACTGCAACTGTTAGTTTCGGCGCTAAATTGTTTAAGGCAGATTTTGCAGTTCTTCTTAATTCCACTCATGACGTTATCCTGGGGATAGACTTTCTGAAAGAATGTGGAGCCACTGTGGATTGCGCAGCTGGGGAAGTTTTACTGTCCAGTTTTTGTGAAGAGCCCACGTGATGCCAACAGACTATCGCAGTCATTGATGACATAGTTTTACCGGCCCAGTTGATAGTTCAAGTGCCTGTTGATTTTGTGCTATCACAGCAGATAATGTTGACGTTATAGTTCACCCAATCCAGCTGAGCTATGCGAAGAAGGATGTGGTTGTGCCGCATTGCGTGATTTCTGCAAGTAGTGGCAAAGCCTTGGTATGGGTGGTCAACTCCTCTTTTGAGCTCATTGTACTGCCTGGTGGAATGAGGCTGGCTGTGTTTGAATTCAACGTGAGGAGCAATGTTAACATTGCAGTCATTAGCAATGACAGGAAAAAGGAAAATGCGTCTGATGTGGCTTGTCCTTGTGATGACATACTAATGGATATGGTGAATAAGTCGCTATCGCCAGAGAAGAAACAAGCGTTAGTTCGAATCCTCTCCAACCATGCATCCGTTTTTGATTTCGCACTCAATAGCCGCAGAATTTCTGCACCACCTTCACGCACTTGTCATGCGATTGATACTGGTTCTGCCCATCCCATTCGTCGGAGACCATACAGAGTAGCTCCGTCGGAGCGTAAAGTTATTGCTGAGCAGGTGGAAGAAATGCTGTCTAAGAAAGTTATACAAGAGTCGTCTAGCCCCTGGGCAGCACCAGTTATACTTGTAAAAAAGAAGGATGGGTCTTGGAGATTCTGTGTAGATTAACGGCGGCTCAACTCAGTTACAAAAAAAGACGAAAAAGACGTATATCTGCTTCCCCGCATTGACAGCGTTATCGATTGTTTGCATGCTGCTTCGTACATTTCTTCCGTAGACTTAAGATCGGGATATTGGCAAATCCCTATGCACTCTACCGATAAAGAAAAAACGACTTTTATAACTCCAAATGGTTTATTTGAATTTAACGTCATGCCATTTAGTCTCTGTAACGCTCCAGCCACGTTTGAGTGCTTTATCGACACAGTTCTCCATAGCTTAAAATGGGAAGTATGTCTTTGCTATCTTGATGACGTTTTAATTTTAGGCCGCTCGTTTTAAGAACACAATCATTGACTTGATGTTGTTCTCACGTGCCTTGAAAAAGCAGCACTTTGAATTCTAAAAAATGCCATTTTGGTGATCGTAAAACTCTAGTTCTTGGCCATCTCGTAGACAAACACGGCATTCGGCTTGATCCCCACAAAATCACCGCCGTCAGCACTTTCTCTCAACCAAGCTCGTTACGAGAACTCCGAAGCTTCCTGGGCATGTGTTCGTATTTCCGGCGCTTTGTTCCTAGCTTCGCCGATGTTGCCGAGCCTCTTACTCATCTGTTCAACAAAGACCTACCCTTCAAGTGGACAAAAGAGTGCGAGTCATCGTTTTCGCAGCTGAAGCTTCTACTCACTTCCAGGCCTATTCGTCATTTCGACGCATCAGCCCAAACTGAGGTTCACAGTGATGCAAGTGGAATCGGTATCGGCGCAGTATAAATTCAGCGTCACGGCGCCGCCGAACATTTCATTGCATACGCGAGCCGGTCTTTGAGTAAAGCTGAGTGCAGTTACACTGTTACAGAGCAAGAATGTCTGGCAGCTGTCTTCGCCGTGCACAAGTTTCACCCGTACATCTATGGCCGCCGATTCTCTATCGTCACAGACCACCACTCACTTTGTTGGCTCACCGGTCTATGAGATCCAACCGGTAGTCTTGCACGATGGGCGCTCCATTTGCAAGAATATGACTTTGATGTTTGCTTCAAGAGTGGCTGCTGTCATGCGTTTGCTTCAAGAGTGGCTGCCGTCATGCGGACGCTGACTGGCTATTGAGACTTCTCCTTCCCAAGACTGAATGCAACGCCGACAATTTAGACGACTGTCTGGCCACTCTTGACTCATGTTTTCCAGATTTGGAAGCGTTCCGTACAGAACTATGTCAAGACCGCAGTCTGGCTCCTTTTTCTTATCAGCAGTCGATAAGCTGCATCAGAGCCCATTTGTCATGCAGGATGGCACTCTTTACAAGCGAAATTTCACTGCAAAGGGGTCCGCCTACTTTTGGTTGTCCCCAAATTATTGCGACCCAACGTGCTGCAAGCTATGCAAGACGATCCAACATCTGGGCATATGGGGTTCGCCTGGACCTATCACCGCACACTGAAACATTTCTACTGGCCCCGCATGCGTCAGGCTACAGCTAAATATGTGACCAGCTGTGAGCATTGTCAACGGTTGATTCGCCGGTCTGCTTTCCAGTTTCGCCACGCTACTTCATACCGTCCACAGACCAACGGTTTGACTGAGCGTGTCAACAGGGCACTCATTAACATGCTCGCTATGTACGTTGATTTCAAGCATAAAAACTGGTTTGAAGTTTTACCGTTTATGACCTACACCTTCAACACTGCGCTACAAAGACCACCGGCTTTAGCCCGTTTACCTTCTCTACATCCGTGAGCCACGTACTACCCTCGACACAATTCTCCCATTTTCAGAGCAAGGAAACCCATCCCTTGCAGAGACACTGTCGCGCAGAGGAGGCACGGTGCATTGCGCGTCTCTGAACTTTCGCAACCCAAGACCGTTCAAAGGCTCGCTACGATAAGCGACGTCGACATGTGTCGTACAGCGAAGGTGATATGGTGTGACTGTGGACTCCATATTGCAAGAGTGGTTTGTATCAAAAGTTTCTGGCCCGCTATACAGGTCCCTTCGTCATTTTGTCATGCCTTAGCGGCGTTACGTACGTGATATCATGCCTCACATCTTCTGGCCATCGCTCCAGGAAAACTGACG